CTCAGAGGCCGCCATGGCTCCCGCACAGCAGTCGGGCCCAGCTCGCAGGCCCCGCCTCTTAACACTGCACTTCCGGCAGAGGGCGGGGCCTCCAGGCTCATTAGCATCCGGTCAGGTTGGGCTGGACGCGGCGCCCCCTTCAGGCACTGAAGTGTACGTCAGCAGGGAGCTGCTGCCAGGTGAGGCGGGAGGGTTGCAAAACTTCACTGGGATTCCTATGAACAGGTAGAAGGTGTTGGTTGTGCTTCCAAGAAACTTGACATCAGGCAATAATTGGAGAAGAAAAAGTGATGCGTTCACAAGTTTTACTTCTCAAAGATTAGAAACAACTCCAATGTTCACCAGCAGCACAGGCGACAGTATGTTAATTACAGCTGTGTTTTATTTAGTTTACCATGTGCCAGACACTGGAGAATGCATTTGTCATTTAGTGTCTTGTTATGTCCTCAAAACAGCCATAGCGGGCAAGTACTATAAGTTTTCCTCCGTTTTGCAGAGAAGTAACTACTTAATCCTAGGTCACATTATACAAACGAAAGGATTGTTATAATTGATAATCATTTCAGGGAGGCTGTATTTACTTACTTATATTTTAAAGGATAAGATTTGATTACTATATGGGAGACAGTATAGCTCAGGGCAGGGTTCTAAAACCTAAGTACCTAGAGGGACTAGGTAGGTCATGTAGATGAGAATAGTAGGTCAGGTATAGACAAAAGGGAGGGGTAAGGACTGCAGTGAAATGAGAAATAAATTTTTTGTTTAAAGGGGAGCAGCTGCATCTTTGATATCACTAGATTTGTTTTTCAATATTTTTATGTGAAATCATTCAACATATATTAGCATATGTATTAGTTTTCTATTGCTACAATAACTAATTTCCTCAAAATCTGTGGCTTAAAACACAGATTTGTTATTGTTGAAGGAACTCAAAAGAGCCTGGAGGCTTTGGCTAGAAATAAATGATAAGGACTTATTCAAGGGTCTTGGAGTTTGCAAGCTAGGAACACAGGAAGGCAAAAAAGTGTTCCAAAGCAGAAAGAAAAGTTAAGTTCTTACAATAAAAAGTACATTCTTGAGAATTATCAGTCCTGCATTCTTAGCCTTACAACTGATCCAGGATGATTATCAGTCATATGTCAGGGCAGTCAGGGTGATGGATGCCAGGAGGTTTGGTCACATCCTCTGGTCTGGATAATGGATGTCAGGTGGATGTATATGTGAGTCCTTCAGAGGGTAATCAGGTAGTCTGGGTACCTGAGACCTCCAGGGGATAAACAGAGGGTTATCTAGAAGTCCATTTGTAAATCCAAGCATTGACACAGGACTGAAAAGTTAAAAAAAAGTTTATGTTACCAGGTTAGAACAAGAATGGAATCTTTTATGCCTCAAACTTCATGTTAATTTTAGCAGCTTGTTAAAATGACTCCACCTTATATATTCCCCATCTTCACTCTTTCTTCATTATTTGACAGTTCTAGAGATTAGAAGTCTAGAATGATCCTAGCTACCAGACCAGGATCAAGGAGTTGGCAGGGCTGCATTTCTTCTGGAGGCTCCGTGGAAGTAGCTTGCCTCTTCCAGCTTCTCCTAGTCAGTAATGGTGAGCTGAGTCGTTATATCACTCTCATTTCTTCAGTAGTCATATCTCCTTTTGCTCTCTCCTCTTCCATTTTTGAGTACCCTAATAATTACATTGGGTGCATTCAGGAACTCTCAATTGAAAAATCCCTGTGCTTTTTTGTTTTTAAATATATTTTATTGATTTTTCACAGAGCTGAAGGGAGAGGGATAGTTAGAAACATCAATGAGAGAGGAACATCGATCAGCTGCCTCCTGCACATCTCCCACCGGGGATGTGCCCGCAACCAAGGTATATGCCCTTGGCCGGAATCGAACCTGGGACCTTTCAGTCCTCAGGCCGATGCTCTATCCACTGAGCCAAACCGGTTAGGGCTCCCTTTACTTTTAAGGTAACATACAGATTCCAGGGATTAGGATGTGGGCATCTTTGAACTGGGGTATTATTCTGCCCACCAAAGGAATTATGATTTAATAAGTACCGTGGGTCAAAAAAACTCCTATCTATGTGTGGGCCAGGATCCATGGGCTATTGTTCTTTTCAGCGTGGAGTCTAGAGTGCAGGCTCTGAGGTCTGACTGCTTGTAGTTAATGTGGGCTCAGCCACTTACTAGCTGGCTAAGCTTTGTTATTCACTTAAGTAGAGTAAGATTAGTAATGCTGCCTGCCTTGAAGGATTGTTATGAAAATAAAAAAATGGATATAAAATACTTAGCAGTGTCTGCCATATATTTAAGGGCTTAATTAGTGTTAGCTAGTATTCATTTTTAGAGATTCTACCTAATGTAAAATTAAATAGATTCCTAATTAGAAAAAATACAAAAATCACATTGCATTATTCTGAATTAATTTCTTTTCCCTAATTTTACATTAGGCAGTAAATACCTTGGCTATAGAGGTCCTTGAATGTATATTTACTGCTCCATCTGTATTCAAGACTACATTTGAATACAGTATGTGTAGTCTGGACCATCAAGACATAATAGGTAAGAATTCCTTGTATTCTCATGTCCTTAAGCAGTTACCTCTGTCGGGGAGGGCCTCCGTGTGCAGCCTCAAGTGATTCCACTATAGACTGGATAATATGATTAGCATCTTCTTTCAGGTTCCAGTTGCACACCCTTGGCAAGCACCAAGGAGAGCTGTGAGCTGTGAGCTGTGAGAAGCCAACCCAGGAACATGCAGCACCTCTGTGTAGATCTAACACAGCCATTCAGGCACTGAGCAGAAGTGCCTGCCCCGTGTCTGAGCCAAACCGGTTAGGGCTGTGCACAGATGCTTTAAATCACAACGGTGATCCATAAGAAAATTAGCGTTAAGCCCTTGCAGACTCAGTGCCTCATTCTAAGATAACCAAAGTGTCTTTGCTATTGCTAATTAAATCTAAAAACATATTTTTCACATAAAACCCCCTACAGTCTGTAGAAAATACCATTGTATTATAAAGCATATTTTAACTCCTTTTTCTGATTGTATTTATGTATCTGTACAGTAAGCCTCTTTTTGATTTTCATCAAAAGTAACTTTTGTATCAGTTTTTGCATATCTTTATTCACAAATCAGTATAAAATTGGTCAGTTTGAATGTCATATGTATGATAAAATAGATTATGAAAAGTATATTTACAATGAAACCATTATTTTATATAACTAAATCATCTGATACACTACCTCCTGCAATAACTTAATGGACCCAAGTCTACCCTCTAAATGTACGAAGTTTATGATTCTCCTAGAAAGTTTTTGAATTGGGTATAGTTTCTTGGTATTTCTTTATGTGATCCAAAGCTTAAGAGAAAATTCCTAAAAACTAGCAATTGGAACCAGGCCTCTCTAGGATAGAGGAGAGACAGGTGTGAGAAAAAGGACATCCTGTCACTTAAAGACCCACAACTGCTATGCTTTGCAGGATATGAGGAAGAGGGAGCACACAGTGGAAGAGGAAATAATCATTCCCAACAATTATATTGAACATTTTAAAATTGTCAATATTAAGGGTTCATATTTAAAATAGCTAGCCATGAAGTGAAATATGTATGCAATATAGTCAGGGAGATGTGATGCTTACAAACCATATATGTCTTATTTATCTTTAATTTTAAAATAATTCATTCTTTTTTGGGGTATGCAAGTGAGCAACGGAGAAAGTGGTGCATCTGCAATACCTGAAATCAAAGAAAGAAAAAGAGACAATTAAAATAATCACAGGACAAAGATTTGAGTCAGTTTAAAAATGGGCAAGATCATGGATCCTCATTACATGCAGAAGCAGAATATGCAATACGGGGTAAGATGGGATACCAGACTGGTCACGAGAAAGCTCCGAGGTAATTAGTCAGCAAAGGGAGGTTTGAATGTAGGTATGCTGTTAATTGTTCTAGCTTGCAAAATAAACTGACGACTTACCTGCTGGTGCTAAGGATTTCAATGCTTCCAGAAGATTCGGGCTAGAGAACTTTACCAGGCACCGGAGAGGTTCTTTTCTTTCAGCCAAGATGCCTCTATTTAAGTCACTTTTGAATTTTGTTTCAAGCTGTCAACGAATATATTTATAAATGACTATTAAATATATCAGTTGGAATGGCAACATGTAACAAAATTGGATTACTCATTTCACTAATTATTATCACCAAGAAATACAGGGCTTAATGGATGAGAGAAGCATTAATTTGCTAACTGAAAATGTAGAGGGCAACCAGCATATCAAACGACAGAACACACAAAATGCCAAGTGTGCACCGTGCCGGACACACAGGAGACCCTGGATGGCAGTTTCGCCCGCAGGTGTCCTATTTTGCATTTTTTTAAAAAATATATTTTTATTGATGTCAGAGAGGAAGAGAGAGGGAGAGAGAGATAGAAACATCAATGATGAGAGAGAATCATTGACTGGCTGCCTCTTGCACACCCCCTATTGGAGATCGAGTCCGCAACCTGGGCATGTGCCCTTGGCCAGAATTGTATCTGTACAACCTGGGACCCTTCAGTCTGTAGGCCGATGCTCTATCCACTGAGCCACACCAGCTAGGGCCTATTTTGCATTCTTAATGGAAAATTAGCACTATCTTTTGTAACCTGTTATTTCAATATAAAAATGTCATGTCTTTTGAATCACTATCATGATTTCTTTTTTACTTCTCATTATGGAAGATTTAAAAAAAAACATACACAAGTAAGGCGCACAGTATAATGAGTCCCATGTGCATATCACTGAGCTGAAACAATGATCAACTAATGATCAGTATTTTTTCATTTATTACCTTTCTTCCCATTCCCTACAGCCCACCCACACTGGATTATTCTGAAACAAATCCAGGACATCATAGTATTCTATCTGTAAATATTTCAGTATGTATCTAAAAACACCTAAAAAGGACTCTTACATTACCACACATAAAAAAATTAATAGTATGTATCTAAAAACACCTAAAAAGGACTCTTTTCATCCCCTTACATTACCACACATAAAAAAATTATCAAATATCCAAGTATTGCTAATTTAATAGGTACTTGGCTCTTAGATTCTAATTTCAATTTCTTTTAAAACTTAAAGCAATCCTTCGCATTTAGAGGCAGTATGCTGAAATAGCTGAAGACTGAGTAATGCCTGCAACTAACACAAATGGTTCAGCATCAAGAAAGAAAAAGAAAGCAACTGTGGCAAAATGTTAACAACTGGTGAATTGAAGCAAAGGGGACATGGATATTCACTGTAATATTCTTGCAAGTTTTCTGAAGGTTTGACATTTTTCAAAATAGGAAGTGAGGAAAAATTAGTAGCAGGTATGCATCAATGTGCACCTTGACTTATAGAATAGAGCCATTCTAAGATATATGTAAAGGGAAATTTTGTAGATTAAATCTTCTGTCTACTCCTTCAGTGGATCTCTAACTTTAGTGTGCAAAATTAGCTAGAGAGGGCTTGTAAAACCAGATGGCTGGGTCCCACCTGCAGAATTCTGATCCATTAGGACTAAAGTGGGGCTGAGAATCCACATTTCTTATCTATTCCCAAGTGATGCTGGTACCGCTGGTCCAGAGACCACACTTTGAGAACCAGTGTCCCACAGTATGAGCTTTCTAAAGGAACTGGATTAAAACCTGCCATTCAGGGAACCAAACTTGAAAGGTGTTAATGAGCTATTCGTACTGAAAACACATAAAACCAAATAAGCATTAGGCCTAAATGAGCAGATCTATGGCAGATTTGAAGTGTGGCCTGTAGGGGTACTAAGCAGAAAGAATTTTAATGAGGTGTTTAAGGGGAGGGGAGTATTATATGAGCATGAGTATGAGATTAGTGATCATGACCAAACCTTGAATTCTTGTAATGGTGGCAATGGGCTTGTCCCTGACACTGGTCTTCTTGGTAGGCAGTGGTACACTTCCGGGATGAGCTAGGTTTAAAAACTAACTAGGCTACTGGTTTTTTCTCCATGTGATACCAACTGGACTATATAATGACTTATTTATTCACTCTTTTATTCAACAAGTCTTTATGAGCACCCACTGCATTGTAAGTATTGTTCTAGGTATGGATGAATTAGAAAGGTATAGCCTACAATTTTTTCACCTCAAAAATAATAGATCACAGCCAGTTACAATTAATTGAATTAATATGAAAGATGAAATGAAAAGGCAAATTTAAAATTTCCAAAGGTCTTCTTTATTAATAGAGAAACTTACTAAATATTTTAGAAGTCTATTTTAACTCATAAATTGATTATATAAAATTAAAGTGACAAATGAATAAGAAAGTTTCTTAGAACCAGTTCACTTAGATGTTTTATTCTCTTAAAAAATATTGATAACTGTAGATAGTTTATAGCAATGTCCTACCTTATACTGTGCAAATTCTAGTCTTGGTTGAGGATAGTCTCCGAAAATTTCTTGAGTCACTCTTTGTACTCTGTCTTTTTCTATTATGTTTTCATGAATGATCCTTGAATCCACTATAGATGGAAGATTTCAAATAAAAGAGCTGTTAGGAGTACATTTCATCCTTAAATTATCCCCCTTTTAATTCCTAACCTTTCAACTTGCTTGTATAATTTAAAGATAATGTTTACAGGTTCTACTCTTGATTGTAATATTTTCTTATTGTAGAAAAATTGGAAAGCACTGATAAAAAAGAAAATAAAAACCACTCATAATTCTACCACACAGAAATAAGTACTGTTAACAACATTTTATATATTCCTGTATAGCCCTTTTTCAGAGAATAAAAAGTGTATTTTTTAAACTGGGATTATAAAATACACAAATTTTCTTTCCTGCTTCCTTTACTTAACATGAAATCAATAGCCATTCCTATGCCATTGGAAAGCCATAAAAATGTTTCAGAATGGCTGTACCATTTCATTTTATTGCCAACAAATTGCTAAGAGATAGAAAAATTTTCATTTTTAAAAGTGTACTTTCAAATTTCAGTTTTTGTTTTAAAACACACATACAGTTTATATCTAGCCCAAGGTTTCTTTCTTGTAGAGGTGTAGTAGCGTTGTGAGTTTCAAAAGTCTAGAGAAAAAAAAGAAAAAGTGAATGTTTTCCTGATTTTAACACCTTGAAGTACAGCTATTATTTGTTTTAGTACATAAAAGTATGTCAGGTTTTACCTATTTTTTTTTTGTTAATCCTCACCCAAGGATTGCACCCCCCCCCACCCCCCCAGTGATTTTTAAAGAGAGTAGAAGGAACGGAAAGGGAGAGAGAGAAAAACACTAACGTGAGAGAGACACATCGATTGGTTGCCTCCTGTACACGCCCTGACTGGGGCAAGGAACGAACCTGAAACTCAGGTATGTGCCCCTGATTGGGAATTGAAACTAAGACCCTTCGTTGCTTGGGTCAATACTCTACCACTGAGCCACACCAGCCAGGGCTCAAATTTTATATTTATTTTTTCAAACACGAAGAGATTTGAGCCCATATCCAGGCTGAGTGGAGCATTTCTCCTAGAGCAGGATATTGGCAGAGACATCTAGGGTAAGCAACGTGGCTGTTTTGCCTGAGGAGCTCTGTCTATACTTTATCATAAAAATGGACGTGGAAGAAATAGGTGGTGAGTACAAAAGCTAGAGAAATCAGGGCAGAATTTGCAATGTGAAGTTTTAGCTTTATGCTATGTCTTTATAACTCCAAAAAACTCACTGAGATTCCTTTTGTAAAAATAGTTTTCCTACTAAAAGTCTGAATTTCTCAAATCCCTTCTCTGACCTTCCCCCACTAAAGCCACTGTTTTTATAATTAAGTGTTTGACAATGTGTATTTTCCTAGGAGCAAAACAGTTGATAGCAATTTGAGGGGAATGTGGTTGGTAAGAGGGGAGGGGGCTGCTATGGGAGAAAAATCATTATGTAACTTCTTAATGTTAGATATGTTTTCCTTAGAGGGCTTACAGAGAGCCATTACTTCTTTCTATGTAGAACAGATGAAGTATATAAATATAGGGTAGGGCAAAAGTAGGTTTATAATCGTATTAAAACACAAGAGTTTAGTCTTGTATTATTTATTAATCATTGTATTATTTTCCATGTTAACAACTGTAAACCTACTTTTGTCCCGCCCTGTATAATATATCTAAGAACTCAAAGATATACATAGGGTATTAATGACTCATCTACAGGCATCTGAACATATGAGCACACAGATACCATGCACAGGAGCAAATAACCCTGAACCTGTAAGGCCAGATCTATTCTTATAATTAAAAGTAAATGATACATTTAATGCATTTAAATAATTTTAACAAATAAATAAATAGTTGGACTTAATAAACCAATGCTTTTTCCTCAACTTCTAACCCCTGTATCACCTACTGGACTGATGGGACAAAAAATTAATTCTACTTTTCTCTTGCAATAGAAGAGAGTAGTAGAATTAATTTTTTTGTAATTAGCTTAAAAAGGCAGCAAGTTATTCTAAAGAGAAAATAAACTCTAATTAGAATAGCTGATCTGGAAACTGGGATCTAACAGACTCCAATAATAACTAATGAGCAGTATAAAACACAAAATATGATCATAAAAAGATGATAGTTAGGCATTTCATTATTTTGTTTCCTGTAATGTTAACTAACAAAGTTTTCTCTGCTTCAGTAGTATCTGAAGGGATCTCCTTTTTTTCTAGGTGAACTTCCCACCTGCTCAGTGGCTTGTAAAGAGAAAATGGAGACTTAACTTTAAACAGTCACTGATGGGCTCACCTGATTATACTGTTTAAAAACAATAGCCTTCAGAGAGTCCAGATATCGGCTTCTGAAGTCCATTTTCACAATCCGATGGTGTTTGCTAGCAACTGTCAGTGCCTTAAAGTGAAAGTTAGAAAGAATATTAGGATTACTGTGTCTATTCCTGTATTTACAGTATTTGTCAAAGTAAAATTAAGAGTGGCAGTAAGTGAATACTTTCTACTTGGGAGTGAAAAGAGAAACCTAGAAAAATGTAATCTCATGTCCTGTTACTCAGTTTTTTTAAAAGACAAAAAAAGGCTAATGGCATTAAAATGATCATAAATGCAAAATCTTTTATACCATTTTTAGAACTGTTCCTATTTAAAGTTAGGATTTATAATACATTAAGTTCAGACTTAGGAATAAACAATGAATACTTAAATGTTACCATTTTGGAATACCAGTCATCTAATATTACAATGATATTGCCACACTAAAATGCAAATATGTATACTTTAGGACAAATACTGAAGAAAAAAGTACATATTAAATGCAATTTATAAAAGCTTCCCATTATCTGGAGAAGCAAGTTAGAAGGCAGAAACAGAATTAATAAAATACTTACCTGGAACTAGAGGATAGAGATAAGTTTGCCTTAAGATTCACAGTGGAAATAAACATTAGCTTGTGGGGCAATGTTTAAACTAGCTATGGCAGGGGCGACTTATCTGGCTGTAAGTGGATGAACCACCACTTCTAGTATATATTAAGGAGGAAAAGATCCCAAACATAAAGAAGCAGAGTTGTGTTAAAGGGAAGTAGAAGCATGTAGCAGAAATCCCTCTGCCATTTCAGTAAACAGACAAGGAATTTAAATGACAAGCAAGTCTGCCCGCCAGGATCCTAAGGCTCGTAGATCCATACTGTGGAGTGCTTGCTCTACTAGAGATGATGGAGCCTGGATGGTGGAGCTGCTCACCTACAACCAGCTTAAGTGGTAGCACTGGCACCAACTGAGGTGCCACTGTAGTTGTGAATAGAGAGTGGAAGCAGCAGCAGTTGCCAGGTCTACGTAGGGATGGCTTATTCGGGGGGAAGATGCTAGGAAGCCAGAGCTATAACAAGAAGCAGGCTGTGAGTAGACGCTCCTTCTTGTGCACAGAATGTAAGGAAAATGATTACAAATGAAAATAATGTTATTAATAGGCAAATTATGCAGTCACAAAAAAGTTGTGAGGTGTATCAGATGGAAACACATGGAAATGTTAAAAAAGCAAATGACAGGTGATATGCTATTCTGGTTTTTGTAATAAAACATCTGAAAGGAAATAACAAAACTGTTAACAGTAATTATTTTGGGTAAATAGGATTGGGAAAAAGGATATGAAGTTTTAAAAGACTAAGGGTTGATCTTTAAAGACCTCTGTGTTGGTTGAAGTTTTACATTAAATACGCATTACTTCTAGATTAAAAGACAATAATGAAGAGCTCCGAACCAATGCTTATACCACCTTCCCATTGCAGAAGAACCACTCTTCCTTATTTTAGGAAATCAAGAATTACATGTGGCATTTTACATAGTGCTTAAACCTACATAGACCTTTGAGATAAGATAATACAACTTTATAGCTGTAGTAACTGGTTCCATACCTGACCCAGAAGGGGAATGCTGCTCCTCAGCCTGGAAGAAGAAATGAAGGCATATGGAGTCTGGGAATAGTACACCACGTAAGTAGGTTTGTACTGGTTTGGCTTTTTACACTGTGTTCCCCAGGCAATTCGAATCCATACTGCATTCTCTTCAGCGTCCTTGAAGGTGACTGATACCTTATTAAAAAAGAAAATTTAAGTTTCCTAATTAAAATCTTGTAGCACCAATATGTGCTTTCTAGGGGTGGGGATGTCACTGTAATCTTCCACACAGTCTTTTCTCCTACTTTTCATTACAGTGTTTTGGGAATCTTTGAGAAAATATTTTGTGGTTGTTTTGCAGACATATATATTGCTTTGCAAAGTCTTCTGGAAGAAAAAAAAATTAAAAACCTACAATCATGGTGTGATACCAGAATTTTTCAATAATTTCTTGGGCTTGTCCTGAAAAAAATTCCTCTACCTGTAAGAGTTTATGAAGGCAGCCTTACAAATGATGTTTGTTATAAAATGGAGCCTTTTTTGCATGGATCATAGAACTAGGGTGCACTATTAAATTTAATAGCAACACTCAAATATATACTAATATATACAGGCTTAAAATATATTAATCCGAATGCTTTTATGCATTTAGCTGAGATGCTACAAATTAAAGGAAAGTTATATGATGAGAATAGGAAATTCTATTTGGTTTCCATTTCATGGATAAAATGTAGACCTTCCTAAACTTTTAAATATGACTATCAGTTCGTCTGGAATTCAGTAGCCTACTCTTAGTTATTAGCTCCCCCTTGACTCAGCTTTCCCTCAGAGCTCAGACCCTGCAAAGGCAGTACTTGAGACAGGTGTACTTGGCTGGCCCATGTCCCTTCATTCCCACCCTCTTATACCTTACTCCAGTAATTTGGTTGTAATGTGACTGCTGGCATTAAGAAGGCAGTTGCTTTGACTTTGCCCACTTTTTATTTGTCTGCTTTTCCAAATCCCCTTGGTGCATGAGACAAGGAACCCTCCCCAGTCCTGGGCGTGGAGGGTGCATAGCTGTCTGACCCTCCCTGAGTGAGCAGCACAGTGATTGGCCCCAACAAGTGGACCGCTACTGCCTTGAGTGGAAGATAGGGTCTTATTCTCAATAGCCTCTTGGTGTCACATTACCAAAGTAAAAACACCTGTAAAATCAAGACTAAATAAAATATATGGAGGGAACACTTTAACTAGAGAGAGAAAACTGGTAGCACTCAACATAGTCAAGTAGTCTCTCTAGCACAGAATGAGAATCTTTTTATATATTTTTTTTATTGATTTTTTACAGAGAGGAAGGGAGAGGGATAGTGAGTTAGAAACGTCGATGAGAGAGAAACATCGATCAGCTGCCTCCTGCACACTTCCTACTGGGGATGTGCCTGCAACCAAGGTACATGCCCTTGACCAGAATCGAACCTGGGACCTTTTAGTCCGCAGGCTGACGCTCCATACACTGAGCCAAACCGGTGCTGGCAGAATGAGAATCTTTTAAACGAGGGCTCTAAGAAGCCCGTGACCTTCCTGAACTGGATTCACAGTCAGGTATATAAATCTAAGTGTATGTTTTCTGGAGAGACATGCTGTATCACATATCAAGATTTTCATAAGGGTCTATACTCAATCCAAAAAAGGTTAAAAAAAATCAATGGGCTAAAAAAAAAAAAGATGTCCACAGAATCAGTATAATTCTGAGTAGCTGGCCTCCAGGTGTTCCATCTCATACTCTTATAGCAAGATCCTCAGAAAAATGAAGGGGTGGTGATGAAGGGACTCCTACATGAGGAACAAGAAATATTTCCTTCCAAGAGTTTTATGCTTAAGGATGAGCATGGAGAATGGATTTACTTTTACTAGGACTTGGGCATGTTTATAAGCATTAGAGTAGGCATCAGTAGATGAAGGGGTTGAGAATGTGAAAGAAGAGAGAAAAACCAAGATGTAGGCCCTATGAGGATGTAGGAGATGGGTTCAAAGCACACGAAGAAGGGTCATTTTAAGAAAGGAGAAAATATGCTCACTGACAAGTGGATGCGTAGAAAGAATGACAAGTTACAAAGGATGAGGTAAAGTGATGGAAAGATCAAAGAATTGTGTATGAAAAAAGAGGGAACACTACTACTCTAAGGACGACAGCCATAGCATGGCAAATGTGATTTTTTGGCTGCTTTTATATGTAAGGAGGACTAAGACAGAATAACGTGGAAAGAGAATGAAGGAGAGTTTGCCCAAACTTACGACAATAAGGTGGTGCTTGTGGAAATGGAATGGCAGAAAGGTTCTGTGGGTGGTTTTGAGCTGCACTGACCATTACAGGAGCCACCAGGCACCCATGGCTATTTAAGTAAAATCTGTTGCAGTTAAATAAGATCCTCAGGAGGGGAGCCCAGCCCATGTGGCTCAGCAGTTGAGCATCAATCTATGAACCAGGTGGTCACGGTTCAATTCCCGGTCAGAGCACATGTCCGGGTTGTGCGCTGATCCCCAGTGTGAGGCATGTAGGAGGCAGCCGATCAAAGATTCTCTCTCATCATTGATATTTCTATATCGCTCTCCCTCTTTCTTCCTCTCTCTAAAATCAATTAAAAAATATTTTTTTAAAAGAGAGGTGAGCAGAAAGTTTGCATAATTAAAAGTCCTTTTTTGTTATGAACTAGAATAGTATGAAATATTATGATTTGAAATTCTTACAAATAAAAAAAGGTAGTAGCACAGATGCATGGAATTGAATTTCACTGAAGTTCAGAAAGATTTTAATCTTACATTTTTTAATGCTCTCTGAAGAATTTTCTTAAATGAACTTTTGAATTGTTTCATATCAAAAAGGTCAATATCTTCACCTGTCAAAGTGAAAAGAAAAATCAAGAAAAATTAAGGGAGCTATAATGTCTTCAATAAATACATTTCAAAGACCCTGAGGCAAGCATTTGTATAACCTCAAAGAGCAATGATATTCAAATCACAGAGATGCTGCTGGTACTCTGACAAAGCATTGCCAAATATATTTTTCATTTTCCCAAAAATGAGTAATAATCACCTCATTTTGAAAAAAAGTGATTTAAGAGGAACATACTGCTATTCATTTTTAAATAGCCAAAATATCAAATGTAAATGTTTACTTTATTATTATTATTTTTTAGATAAGTTCTTTATTTTTTAAAATCATCATTGTTGAAAGTATTAAATATGTCCCCCCTTTTCCCCATTGAACTCCTTGGCTCGCTAAATGTTTACTTTAAAAGGGAAAATGTTACCTGGTTCTTTAGTCATCTGAAAAACATCCCAAACTTTCTGGTGCCGATGAAATTGAGTATCTGAGAGAGGGAGGAAGAACTTATTGCTATTATATCATAGAACTTTTAAGTACTGTGCTTATGAATTACTATTTTCTCCACCTTCATGTTATTTATAACATGAAGGTGGAGAAAATAGAAATTTATAAATTCGGTTATACATTTTTATTCCAAGATAAATTTTACATGGATGAACTTTACTCCAAATAAAACACGTCATAAAGAATTAATCTAGTAGAGCTTTAGCATTTATCCTAAGTCAGATCATTTATTTTATTTCCACACAGAATGCAGCATTTATTGAGCATGCCAGGGATGGTGTGCTCCCCATAACTGGTGTGTGTACTAGCTGGCTGCTCCTTTGTCTGGAGCATTCTTCTAGCTCGTTGCATACTTCATTCCTGCACCTCATCTAGTCTCTAAAAAAATGCCTCCTGATCACCCTAACCAGTCTGACCCCCCCATCCCACCCTGCTTTAGTTTACTTCATAGCACTTACCATTATCCTATAGCACATCATATATTTAGATGGTCATTTGTATACTGCTTGTCTCCCCAACTAGAATCCTGTGGAATACACGACTTTGTCTTGTGCACTGTTGTATTCAGTGTCTCTAAACACTGGCTGGCACTCCGTATTATATCTGATGAATGAATGAATGAATGATATAGAAGACACCTTTCAGGAGTTATAAACTTAAGAGTGTCTTGGAGTAAAAATGGGCCTAGGAAGTTATTAAGTTCAATCCCACTACATTATCATCCGGCTTTACTCTGTCCCTGTACTGACCTCCATCTGCATCCCTGTGTCTTTGCACCTAGGACCAAGGTGCTCTGCATCCCATAAAAAGGGGCTGTTGACACAAGGGCACCAACTTACTGTGCTTTTTGTACTTTCTGTCTTTCCTACAGTTTAGTGGTTTTTTTGTTTTGTTTTATATTTGGTGCCTAGTGTCCCCAGATCTCCCTCTATCTGTCCTTCCTACAGTTTAGTGGGTTTTTTTGTTTTATATTTGGTGCCTGGTGTCCCCAGATCTCCCTCTCACCCCATTTATAGCAATGGCCTGACAATTCTTGATTCCCTAAGTTTTGTCTAAACAGGTGTAATCTGGCACAATGTGATACCTGCCCAAGAGACAGCATCTGAAGCGCTTTTGTTCCTTTCTGGTATTTTCTTCTTGATTCTGTATTTCAGAGTTAAGATAGCCTCCTAACTGATCTCTGAATAAGGTTGTTATAATAATAATAGAAATTAAAATTTTTGTTGTAATGATTCCATTAAACATCAAGCAAAAGTTCATGATTAAGTGGTAAGGACTTAAATACATGAAGACACTTCCTCAAACAGAACATGTCCCAGGCTAATCTGTGATCTTTGTGACATAAACGGTCCACCTCTAGTGTTCCCTATCTTACTTAGCAAGGGGCTCCACTGTCCTTCTAGTTGCACCTATAAACCCCGGAGCCATGTGTGCTCCTCCCACTCAGTCCCCCTAAACCAGTGGTCTCTAAGCGGTGGTCTGCGGACCACTGGTGGTCCGTGAGGTCTGAAAGGTTGGTGACTGCTGCCCTAGACCACACCACGTGCAAAGTCCAGTCAGTTTTAATCTTTATATCCCTTACAAGATGCACTATAAGAACAAATTTTCAGAAATATATTTTCAATTCTATTAATATGTACTTATATATGCCAGTCATTGTGCTAAGAACCTTTCAAGCATGATCTCATTTAACCCTCACAACAATCCTGTGCTATATTATTATAATGTTATTATATTAACAGGTGCTATTATTATTTCTATTTACTAGTAGAAGTCTAGGGCCTAGAAAGGCAATGTGACTTGGCAAAGGACACAGGACTGGTAAGCGATAGAGCTGGGATTTTACACACCAGGTCAACTTGAGCCCTTAGCTACAATATTACCTCTCTGATGAAACTGTATTGGTTCAATATAAATACAAATCACCAGAACTTACAAATAATGTCTAAAAGGGCAGCATCATTGACATTCGCATGCTTCTCCTGAAAGAAAAGGTAAAATATTCAGTAAACATGGCTATCGGTTTGATTCTACCCTAGAATCACAGCACATTTTAGAATTGCTTAGGACAGACTATGAGCACCCTCTCAATACTTTATTAACCTGTCTCTGATCTACTCTCCCGTTAAGTAACAAATACACCTTCTGATTCATGTTTAGTACAGGTACTTACACCTGTTCTCCCACAATTTACTTCTCATTCATCACTTTTAATTTTTGTTTTGTTCTTCTAGTCAACAGGGTTTCTTAATTGGGCACTACTGACGTTTTGTGTCAGATAATGCTATGTTGTGGAGTGCTGTTGTAAGACATTAAGAAGCGCCCCTGGCCTCTATCCACTAGAATCCAGTAGCACCCCACTCCTACAGTGTTGACAACCAAAAATGTCTCCAGACATTGTACCCTCCAGAAGAAAAAAATCATCCCAGCTGAGAACCACTATTTTATACATTATACATTTATATATATGCATAGCATATAGCTTTTTTCAATGTGCACACAAACATCTAATTTACTCTTTCTAATGGCTGAATAATATTTTATGTGGAGTATAATCATCTTCTATGTATAGTTTGCAATTTTTTGTTTTTATAAACAATGCTAGTTAATGTCTTTATTTATATATATTTACATATTTATAACTACATACATATGTTTGTCAATTATATTTATATACATTTCTTTATTTTTTATGATTTTACCCACATTAATTTCCAGAAGTGGAACTGCTGGGTCATAAAGTATATTTATTTAAAAGTGACTAAGGGAAGGGTATACTGGAACATGGGAATTCTTTGTACTAGCAAATTTTCTGAAAGTTTGAAATCTTTTTAAAATAAATAAATAAATAAATACATACATACATACATACATACATACATGTGAAAGAGTATCTCTTTCTACACAACTTGACCAGCACATCTGAGTATTATCTTTTCATCGTGGACAATCTCATAGGTATAAAAAGAATACTGCTCATTACTTGTATTGTCTGTTTTTTTCTCACATGGTGCACTTTTTTCTTAATGATTTGTAAGCAGTTTTGATAAGCTGAAAAGCCAATTAAAAATTAGTATCTTGTCTACTATAGTAGTATGTAGCCTCATCACTTCATAGCTTAGCAGCTGCCTTAAATCTCTTTTGGACAAAGGGAACAAAGAAAACAACAAAGCATGAAGTTCAAGGTTAATCATTTTGAACATTGTTACCTCACAAAGCATAACTAAGTCATGAACAAGAGATTCCTTTCTCTTCCGGAAGTTTATGGTCTGCAGTTGACTTTCAGACAAAAAATCCCAGGCTTTCAGGATTGTCATCATCTCAGCCATTGGGATTTTCAAGATGGTCCTCTTGATAAACTCAGCAACAATTTCATCCATTTCTTTGGCACTGTCATAAAACAAAAACAGCAGAAGTTTAACTTAACAGTTACTTTTTTTAAACATCCTATTTTTCGCCTGGGATTTTGATTTGTATGTCAAACACCCAAATGTTTATTTTATTGTTTCTCAGGCAATCTGCAAAGTGTTTTAACAAGAGGATTTAATAACTTTCTCCTTAAGCTGTATATTTAAATGTCTTTTAGAGTTTTTAAAAATTAGTGCTCTCTCTCCTTTCTTGGCTAGAGTATTTTGATCTTTTGAAGGCAATAATATGGAAACCATTCATTTTCTAATTCATGTAACAAATTAAGGAGCACTTATGCATGCTAGACACACTCAAGTCACCAAGTAGGGCTTGAGATTCTGCATTTTAGAGTGCCTCAGAAGATTACAAAAATGTTGGGTAAAGTGTGTAGAATGCCATTCTGAAGAATTTTGGTAGAAAGAGCGCACTTAATCTCATTAACAAAATCGGAAAACTTGCGTAAACTCTGATTCCCTGTGATGACCTAATTTCTTATTTCCTAGCATGCAGCTCAGCGCCTGGCTTATAGAAGGTGCTCAAGATATATTTGTTGAATGAACGCATGACAGAAAAGAGCCCTTTTAAGTAACCTTCTTATAAAACTACACCGCCAAAGAACTGCAACAAGGAGCATAAGAAGTAACGCGGGAGGCTGCGTGGACCTAAGAGGACGGACGCCAAGGTTAACTGAAAAATCAAAACACACAACACTGGGCAAAACAGCAATCTAAGGGTGGGCTAGCAGAGCAGGCCGTCACGTGACCATTCGGAGGGGCTCAGCTCTGACGCATGCCTTCGTAAGCCCCGCCCCCACAGGGCGGATGTGAGGTCACGACCAAGCGTCATAGCCCTCGCCAGCCTCAACCGTAGTTCCAGCCCTTCTGCCTTCAGCCGAGACCAAGCGCCAGTCCCCCGCCTGGGGGCGTGTGGCAGTCCCAAAAAGTTGCCTCAGAGGCTTGGGATGTGGGTTGTCGGGCCTCCTCCACCCTCTGGGGCCCGCTTCCATGCTTTTAGGGGCTCTCTCACCTTTCACATCGCCAGCCGCCTCACTTCTTACAGCTGTTCCCGCCCGCTGCGCCTTCAAAGCCACCAATGGCAGTCCCCGCCGCCCTGGAGCCCCGCCCACCGGGGGGGCGCAAACTTTGGACTGTCTCTCCTTCGCAGGGGGCCGCGTGGGGGAAGCGGCAGAAGTGAAACTCGGCGAGCTCTCACGTCGTTTTTCTCAGCAGAGAATATTGCTTAAATGCATTTAATCTCAGACACGACATCTGACTTGTTGGCTCAGCTTGCTCTTTAGGCTTCGCCGTGCCTCTGTGGGCTGGCTCCCCCTTCAGTTCCCCCAAAATGGGCCCGTCCAGGCCGGGCGGCGCATGCGCCTCAGAGGAGGCGAGCGGCGTGGGCCGGCCCAGCGGGTCAGCTGTGGAGGGCGTCGGAGCGTTCTCCTTGCGGACTGACCGGCTCTGGCGCCCCGGCCAGCGGGACTTGGGGTGAGGCGTGCTCGCCGGTGAATTCCGCTCCAGCTCTTCAGGTGTGGCCGTGAGGCGGTGAGTCTTGGGAGTCGTGGGGGTCAGAGGAGCGCGCTCTTTCCGACCGCGGCGTCCCGGGAGGCCGCGGGACACCCACCTGTCCCCGCTCTCGAGCGCCCCTCGGCGTCGCGTCCTGTGGGGACTTTGCTGTTGCCATTGGAAGTTGGGACCTGGAAGGCCGGGTCCTCGGGGCGGCGGTCGCCTGGCGCCGGGGATTTTGTCAGAGTCGCCACAGGTGCTTCCTGAGCTGCCCGCCCGCAGCTCTGGCTGAGGACCTGCTTGTAGCTGAGAGCAGGCATGGCCTCGAGCTTTCCCTCTCCTGCCTTCTCTCCTGTCGCTCTCGAGCCTTCTGACCCAGCGCGGGCTTCTCCCTTCCCCGAGCCTCTGCGTCCACGCCGGAAAAATGGGTATAAACCCGTTGCATCGATTGTGAGAAGTGATGTCCTTAGCACCGTGTTTGACACGGCGAGCGCTCAATACAATGGCGTGGTTATCGCTCTTGATTATGTAGTTTAGAATTTGCCTGTAGAAGATAAAAGCCTGCAAAGGCGCCTCTCAGCTGCAGTGAACCTTGGCACCGGTCCGTCTTGCGATGGGACAGACCCGTGAGATCCCCGTCAGTACATTGTTCAGGGAATGCAGCCGTCCACATCCCTTTCATCGGGCTTAAAGATGACCGTGCCCCTGGTTTCACAGTGGGCGCTGTAAGTAAACCCGAGTTCCGGAAACCTTTATGTAAAATTTTAAACGGATAGAAGAAGTTTGTGCTGGTAAAGGAATTTTGTTGTGACCCCCTTTGGATCTCCTTTCCTATGCATTCAGGCTTTTGCACTTGTTTAGTTGATTTTAAATGAGCCTTATTTCCATCCTTAAAAAAAAAAACCAAAACACACCACTATGTTGAGGTCTGAACCAATTTTCAAATCTATGATAATCCTAAACTCCACAGTTGTATACTGTGTGCAGTTACAAGGATATTCCCTCATTAGCCTGTGTGTTCTTTGGGGTGTATGGACTAAGTCCCCCCACTACTCCCCGGAAATTCACCTGACGGGGCAGAGCGCTCAGCACCTGGTAAGAGCTGGTACGTGTTCAGGGGAAGCTACAGCTTGACCCATTCCTTAGGAAAGGATGCGAGGAAGTTCGAGCCCTGCAGTCCTTCCTCCCTGAACCCCGGGGTTGCTCTGTTAGCGGTGGGGCCCGGTATGTACGTTGGGCATACCAGTCACTTAACAGCATTTGTTTAGATTTGGTCACGTTGCAGCTGTGATAAGTACAAGTAGGTAGGGTAGGTGGTCTACTGTTATCTGTTATGTCTGCTACCTCTGCTAAATATGGTGCATTATTTAAAATGATAGTTGGAGAAGCATTAATTTAACTAATTCCAGTGCTTTCTGAAATGTGGGCTTTAAAAATGTGTTTTAGAAAGCTTTAAATACTGTTTTACAGGTTTGTCTGGAGAACAGATTTTTTCAGAGATTTTTGTGGTCCTGCTTTCTGCTTGTTTTTAAAGTGACATTAGAAATTGCAACTGTCGTGTAAATTTATTTTTGGTGCAGCCACACAATAGCAAGACCCAAAGAAAACAAAAGTGGCATTAAAGTAGTAATGGGTTTTCAAACTCCTTGTAATTATAGATCTGCTAAATGGTGTAATTGGAAGGCTTACTCCCTTTTCTTTATTAGCTATGTATTGGTTACTCTTGGTTAAGTTATTTCCTGAAATGGTGCCACCTGGTGGTTGAAATCTTTTATTATAGAATGCTCATTAGGAATATTTTACCTCAAAAGTCTTGGTAAAATAAGGTAAAGGAGTACGTATAATATGACGAAATTTTATATTGTCAGAGTACCCTACTGCTTCTGCCCACCCAGGTTACCCCAAAATAAAAGCTAAAATTGCTTTTTATGGGCCTACTAGCCATTTATCAAAATATCAAATTGTCACAGCTGAACAATTTTAAAAATTTCAGCTATTTTGGTATCAATGTTTGCAAAGTTGAGGAAGTGGGTGGGGTTGGCATGGGGAGGGGAGTTTTGTAATTGTGACAAGTTAACCTTTCTGATGTTTTCTAAATGCGAGTGGGACAAGTTTTGTTCTTTAAATGAATGATAATGAGCTTTATCCCCCTCTTTCTCGCTGCAAACATCCATGCTTGAAGGCTTATCACAAATGAATATTCCGTTCCCCTGTGTTTCAGTGGTGCAGCTGATGTTCATAAGTACCTTGGCACTACCCTTTTGAAATTGTTTTTGTATTCCTAGTAGTAACAGGTGTTTATCATTTGAGTGTGAATTTTGTTTTTGGAATTGGCTTAAAGTCATTTAATTGTGAGCTTAGATTTGAGAAGAAACTTAAGAATGTAATGTCAGAATATACTCTGTGGCATCCTTAATTGATGTAGCCAGTCTCTTTTGGGCACGTTTGGACAATAACCAAGAGCTTCACACAACATGGCATTTCATTGTTGGACAGCTCCATGAAGATGACTGCCTCTGTAATTTCCACCTTTTGGTTTTTGTCCTGTTCTTGGAAACACCTCAGAGTTAATTCAGTTCAACCTTTTCTATTTTGTGACAAAGCATTTCAGATATACAAATAATACTTTACATATGTCACACACACTGTTCCCTGTTTCAGAGAGTCTTGTATATGTTATTTTAAACCTCATGACAACATGGAGGTATAGGTTAAGAGTTAATTCCCTTTTAAGAAAGAAGAGACATAGGTCTTATATCAAGTAAATAAAGTGATGTAACTTGTGAATACCTGAGTCCACAATTTTTGATTTCAAACCATTTTCTCCCATCAAATCCATTGTTTGTCCGACTTAACCAAGTTGTATCTTTTATCTGTCTCCTCTATTGGGGATTCCCCTACATTGGTAAATATTGTCAATTTCATTCATGATTTTCTGTTTAAATCTAGTGTCAGAACCATCACCACCCTGAGCACTCTCCCCAGGAATATTTAAATAGTAAATATTCTGGACATAGCAAATCAGGATGAGTATAGTACTGCTCTTTTTCTTGTTGTGTAGACAGACCCTCTGTTTCTAATAATACAGGATAATATTACCAGTATATTGACTTCTTTGGAAACTAGGCCTAGAATTAGTACCTGTTGAACTTGTAGCCAACCAAAGGCTCTTTGGGAAATAGTTTTTCTAACTGAATTTATTTCTTTCACAAACTACTGGGAAGGTATGTCTTTTCTATTTTGAATGTGGGGAAAAAATATGTTGTGATAAGAGATGAACTGCTACTTACTTTGTAACTGAGGCTTAGTTTTGCCATGGAAATGTGGATAATGTATATTTTGACCTACAAAAAGGCAATTTCTTATGATTCAACTGAATTTTAAAAGGTACTTCCTGTAGTTATTGGGAGGATTATTAAACTTGTGCTTAGCACATAGTGTTTTAACAAATTATTTTGTACATTAATAATGTAGATATGTGCTTATGGCTTTGAAGAAACTTTAAAAATAAGCATTGGCATATAGGTTTAGCTTTACTTTATAAAATTACTTTGAGTTATACTAGTGTTATTAGAATAGGCCTTAGAAAGATTTTTTGAGAGAGAGAGGGAGGGAGAGGAAGGTATGGGAGAGTTGGGAGAGATGGGATCAAGAAACATTGATTGGCCACTTCCTGAAACCCACGTATGTGCCCTCTTTTGGTGTACGGGACGATGCTCTAACCAACTGAGCCACAATGGCCAGGAGTAGAATAGGCTTTTAAAGATAACTAGTGAAAGGTATCAGCACTTATTTAAGTGTGTTCTAAGAATAATGGTATTGTTTTATGGTTAAACTAGAGGCCCGATGCACAAAACTCGTGCAAGAGCAGGGCTTCCTTCCCCCAGCTGCTGGCACTGGCTTCCCTCCGGCACCCAGGACCCAGGCTTCCCTTACAGCCTGGCTTCATCCGGAAGGTGGTCCGGAAGGATGTCCAGTCTAAATTAGCATATTACACTTTTATTATTATAGATATTTCATGATATTCATTTGTGCTTATATACAACATGCATGCATGTTTTTATCTCTGCAACCAAGTATCTTCTCAGGTGTTTACTATGTCAGTTAAAAAAGTCATTTTAGTAAATCATAAGTTTGTTTCCGAACTGTAAAAGCACACATTTGAGGGCTGATTGATAGATATATGCAAAAATACTTTGTTAAATATATTTATAAAATAAAACATTAGAGATATTTGCTAGGTGACTAAACTATGTACAGCTTCTTTCAGAAGAAAAAGTGAAGCAGAAATCAGATAACGGATACTATACATAACAGCATAGTGTTTTGAATCTGGCTTTTTTTCATTTAGCTTTGTGCTTTTGAGGTTCATCCACATTGGCATAATGTGTTAGTTAATTTATTTTAATTGAGAAATAGTATTCCATTGTGTAAATATACTACATTTGTTTATCCAATTACTTGGTTATTGGACATTTGGGTTGTTTCCAGTCTTGGCTATTATAAATAACTAGAGGCCCAGTGCACAAAAATTTGGGCACTTGGGGTGGTGGAGGTCCCTCAGCCTGGCCTGTGCTGTCTCACAGTCTGGGACCCCTCAAGGGATGACCACCTGCTGGCTTAGGCCCGCTCCCCGAGGTATTGGGCCTAAGCTGGCAGTCAGACATCCCTCTGGCAGGCCAGGAGTCCTCGGGGGATGTCCACTTGCCAGCGGGGAGCAGGCCTAAGCTGCAGTTGGACATCCTTAGCGCTACTGAGGAGGCAGGAGAGGCTCCCACCACCACCGCTGTACTGGCTGCTGTCAGCCTTGCTTGTGGCTGAGAAGAGCTCCTCCTGTGGGAGCGCACTGACCACCAGGGGGCAGCTCCTGCATTGAGCATCTACCCCCTGGTGGTCAGTGTGTGTCATAGTGGCCAGTCATTCCCAGTTGTTCTGCTGTTAGGGTTAATTTGCATATTACCCTTTTATTATATAGGATGTTGTGAACATTCACATACATATCTTTGTGTGGATATACAGGGTGGGGCAAAAGTAGGTTTACAGTTGTACACTAATAAATAATATAAGAATAAACTGTTTCATGTACTCACAACTGTAAACCTACTTTTGCTCTACCCTATACATTGTTTTTTCATTTCTTTTGAATAGATTCTTAGGAATGTAATTTCCAGGTCTTATGGTAAGTTTGCATTTAACTTCTTAAGACACTGCCAATTATCTTCCAAATTGTCTGTTCTGCTTTACATTCTCCAGAGCAATGCATGAGTTCCATTTTTTCCACATTCTAACGAATGCTTGGCATTGTCTGACTCTTTGATTTTAGATATTCTGGTGGATATGTAGTTATATCTCATTGTGGTTTTAATTTGCCTTTCTCTAATGACTAATGGTGCTCAGCATCTTTTCATGCGCTTAATTAACGAGTCCTATACCATCTTTGGTGAAATATCTATTCAAATCTTTTGTCCGTTTATTGGCCCATTTGTAACATTGGCTTGTTTGTAAGCATTCTTTATTTTATTCTAGATATAAGTTCTTTATTATATATGACTTGCAAATATTTTTTCTTAGTCTGTGACTTGTGGTAGATTTTATTTTTTCAGAGCAGTTTTAAGTTGGCAGCCAAATTGAGCAGAAGTAGAGAGGTCCCATATACTTTTTGCCTCCACACACTCACAACTTCCCTCACTATCAACATCCCCCACCAGAGTTTATATGTTTATTACAGTTGATGAATCTAAATTGTGGCATGTCTTTTAATTTTCTTAACGGTGATTTCAAATTGAGAAAGTTTTTAATTTTGATGAGTTTTTACCAATTTTTTTCTTTCATGGATTGTGCTTTTTATGTATGTAAGAACTCTTTGCCCAATCTAAGATCATAATTTTCTCTGTTTTCTTTCTTAGAACTTTCAAAAGATTAAAGCAATTAATTGGTTCTTTCTTTCGGTTATCTTTTCTGAGTTAAAAAGAATTGGTTTAAAAAAGACAATAGGTGTATAGTGATATATAACTGTAGTACACCTCAATATAATGCTTTTCTTTTGACCGTGGCTGCTAGTTTTCTTTGTGGATGAACCAGTTAAACCAATTTTAGGGATTTCAGCTTCTTGTTTTCATGGTAATAATAGCATTTTATGAGTATATCTGCTAAATTTAAAAAATTTATTTCCCATCTGTTTGTTGTTTCTTTTAATTGGTTAGTTAGATTTTCCTAGCCAGATGTTAGGAAGAAAGCAGTCTATATTAATTCACACTAATGTGAGATGACTAATTTTCCCTTTAACACTCTCAGAGGAATACACATTTTTAAAGGATTAATAAGCCAGTTCTCTTAATTGGGAGAATTTCATCTGAACAAAATGAGTTGTAATTAGTTTCAGGAATGTGGGGCTTATTAACATAGGCAAGCTATTTCTGCTTGAATGCTTATTTCCAGGATAGGGTCTATTGAGGAGTCCTGCTTTTTTTCTGAACCTGCATGTTCTTTAAACACTCCTGATAAATTACTGAATCTGTTAAATCTTTGGATAAGGAACTCGAGGCTCAAGTTTAATAATTTGCCTAAGGTCAACATTCTTTTCTGATAAAGGTTCTTACTAAAAATATGAAAATAGTTTTAGGTCACATTAACAAATAAAGTCACAGGCATTCAAGACACTCTTGTATCCACAGGTTGCTCTGCTGTGCTCCATCACCTTCTCCTAAAGATGCATCCTGACTTATCTCCACACTTGCACACTGAAGAATGCAACGTCTTGATTAACTTACTTAAGGAATGTCACAAAAATGTAAGAGTTCAGAAAAAATATTGTAAAGTAAAAATGAAGCTTAGGTACAACACACTGATGTAATTTAAATGTTATGTCCACTAATGGAAGGGAACAATAATGTCTTAGCTTAGTAAAGACTAGCAACTGATGCTGTGATTTTTTTATAAATCACTTCCTTTTATGATTAGTAAAAATCAAGGATGAAAGTTTGTTAGGGATCTTGTGAAATGATATGTATTAATTAGAATCCATATTCTTACAATAAAGTACTTTTCCTAATTACAGGGCACTAGAACAATACGTTCAGTTCTGATTCTTCTGATTATAATGGAATTAATCTAAGATTTTCTGTTCCTTGATGTATGTCATTCTGTGTTTAAAGGAAATTGGAACATTTTAATAGTTAGATATTAATAAATTTAAATTATGATTGGCTTAATTTGACAGATTTACTTGTTAGTAGAATGGAAGTAAAATTCCATGGTTAAAACCAAAATAGATGAAAGCCCATTTTTGGAATGCATTAAGTTGAGCTGATATTTTTTACAGATGTTGAATATGTAGCTTTTTCCATTTATATCATGCATGAGACAGTTATAAGCGTCTTTAACTTTGCATGATGCATTATTTTCCTCATGATATTCTTAAACTATAGATATACCAAATTATAATAGTAGTAAGTGTGATTTAAATGAGCAAAATTTTAAGACTGAAAGTAAGGAAGTAAGTAAAACCCATGACCTGTGAAGTCAGGTATTTTTACTGGTTCAAAGAATGTTGTTGATAATAGTAGGCAAACTATTTTCAGCATACATTTAAATCAAGAATTGATATTGTATGTCTTCTTAACTTTAGCTGTTGTATGGGTATGTTGTAGTATCTCATTTGGTTTTAAATTATATTTCCCTAATGGCTGATGATTTTGAGTATCTTTTCATGTGCTTATTAGCCATTTATATAAAGTCTTTTACCAGTATTTTAAAAAATTGAGTTCTTTGTCTTATTACTGAGTTGCCGGAGTTACTTTTATCATTGACCATACAAGTCTTTTGTCTGATAAGTGTATTCTGAATATTTTCTCCCAATCTGTGGCATCCTTTTTCATTTTCTTAAGAGTGTGTTTTGGAGAGAAATTAGTAAATTTGATGAAGTCTAATTTACCAGTTTTTTCTTTTGTTTGTGTTTTTTATCTTCTACGGATCTTGTATATTTCCTGGTCACAAAGATTTTCTATTTTTTCTTTTAGAAGTTTTACATTTAGGTTTGTGATTCATATCATGTTTTAATTTTTGTGTATGGTGTGAAGTATGAGTCAGTTTTTTTCCCTATCAATACCCAGTTATTCCAACATAACTTATTTATTACTTATTTATTCTTTCCCCACTAAATTACCTTGTGCCTTTGTAAAAAATCAACCGACCACTTGTGAGTGGGTCTATTTCTGGGAGCTCTGGTCTGTTCCACTGAGATAATATATGTCTATTCTTAACACCAATTAATTCTAAAGTTATCTTACTGAGGTCAAGTGGTCCCCTGACTATTTTGTACTCTTCTCTGTCTTAATTTACTTTCCACAATGCATCTAGAGCAGTGATGGCCAACCTATGACACGCGTGTCAGAGGTGACACTTGAACTCATTTTTTTGGTTGATTTTTCTTTGTTAAATGGCATTTAAATATGTAAAATAAATATCAAAAATATAAGTCTTTGTTTTACTATGGTTGTAAATATCAAAAAATTTCTATATGTGACACGGTACCAGAGTTAAGTTAGGGTTTTTCAAAATGCTGACACGCCGAGCTCAAAAGGTTCGCCATCACTGAACTAGAGTGATCTCTCAAATACACGTTTAATCATTATTCCACTTTTAAGGCTCCCTTTGTAGACTAAAATCTTCTCTCTTTTTTTGTGTTGCAAGATTTTCATGAAACTGGCACCTACTTACCTTGTGGGCTACACCACTGTCCTATACCTCTGTTCTTCCCCTCATTCCTATGTGTTCTTTCTGCAGTTATACTGGAGCATGTTTCTCTCTTGTAAGCCTTTGCACTTGCTTTTTCCTTTGCTTGACTTAGAACCTTTCTTATAATCTTCACTTCCCATTTGCTATACCACTTGTCATCTCCTAGGTTTTATTCAGATTATCATTTCCTCTTCCTTTTCTTCTTTCCTGGCTTAGATTCTCTTGGGATAATTAACCTGCACTCCAATAACACCATACATAACACAGTTCCTACTTTATGGCAGTTGTTCTCACACTTTTTGGTCTCAGGACTCCTTTATACTTAAAAATCATCGAGGACCACAAAAAACTTTGTTTATATGAACTATATCAAATTAATTTAGAAATTAAAAATAATTTAAAAATGATAATAAACTCATGTTAACATAATTAAGTTTCATAAAAAGCTCTTAGTTTCCAAAAAAAGAGTGACATTGCTTTTGCATTTTTACAATTCTTTTTAATGTCTGACTTAATAGAATACAGCTGGATTCTCATACCTGCTTCTACATTCAATCTGTGGTGTTACATTTCATGTAGTCTCTGGAAAATTGCACTATACCCTTATTAGAGAAAGTGAACAAAACAAATAAGATCTTTGATTATTAGGAAAATAGTTTTTTACCTATGCATCTCCTAGAAAGGTCTTGGGAACTCCTGGATATTCCTGGACTATACTTTGTAAACCATTGCTTTATAGCAATCACTTCATTTTTTGTCTCCTCCCTTTGACTATGTGCAATGAGAGTAGGGCCCAGGTTCACCTTGCTTACTGTGTATCCTTCTAGTGCCTGGGACATTGTCTTCCAGACATTGATTGATTGATTGATTTGCTTATTCAATCAATTGCTTAGCCAGTTTAGTTCGCTAGAAATAGACATTAGACACTAGTGGCATATGCTATGTGTATAAAAGAGAATTATAGTACATGGACATGTCTTTTACCAATTGCACTAGGCATTTTGGGTTTTTCACATAATGTCACAAGAGTATAATTCTTATTTGGGCTCAATATTGAGGTAAAAACAAAAATATAAATTAGTTTTTTTCTTGGATTTTTAAAATAAGATGTATGTATATGGGATTGAATAAATGTAAGCCGAACTATGAAATATTGCCTTGCATTCTAAAAGTCTAATCCTTTCTGTTATTTCTACTTGACCAGAGGGTGTAAGCCGCATTGTCCCTGCTTATTTGTATTTAAGTATTTAGGGAAAATACACAGGAAATATTTATTCTGAAGAGGTCATTAGGTAGCCAGTAGGAGCTCTTAGCCCATCTTAAATGCTTGCCAGAAAAACTGACTATTTTCCAATGTGGACCAGAAAAGCACATTCAAAGTGGTAGTGAATTAGGAAAAAAATAATAGCATGAGGCATAGCTTACTAATTATGAGTTGTCTGGTTTTCATGAAAGTCTTAATTAGAAAGAAAAGGAAAAGATGTGCTTATTATTACAACTACAAGTTCAGCATTTATGGCCTTATTATAGGAAATCACCATGCTCTCCAATCTACCCTTAAAAATTGTGACATGCAAACACACTAGATATGGCCCTACTAAAATTTAGCTTCTTGACTTCAGTCTTCATCTTAATCTGCTTTGGAACACAATCTTTGCCATGATAATAGTTATAGGACTTGAATCCACTAGGAGATATTTATTTTTGCTTTTCAAACCAAGCAGACTGAACTTCAGACATAGATGTCCTTATATGTATTGTGAATTAGTGGCTTATTTATGTGGCCCATATAGGCGATCTAATAACTGTATGTGTTTCGGATTTATTTTGATGACATTTTCAATGGAGTCAAATGAGAAAATGACTTTGGCACCAAGCATTTATTTAGTAGCTCTTTTACAAGACAGTGTGTTTGCTAGTGAAGGAAATTCATTATGTTAATATGGCCACACTGTTCTTTGACATTGCTCCCTGTAATGGAGAATGGATTATGCTTTTATTTTAGCATGCCTTTAAAGAAGGAGGTATTAGGAAATAAAATTGTTTACATACTGTCACTATGAGGTTTTGGCAGGTAAATAGACTTCCCATTTATCAAGGAAAAGTTTTTTTTATTTTTAACTATAGAGCATTTATCCCTCTTTTTTAGGAAGGCCAGGATAAACCTGTTTATTTGTATATTTTATACTTGGGATTTAATTATTTGCTTATTAACAAGGTGACACATTAAACCCATGATCTAAGAATAAGCATTTAAATTCTATGTGCCAGAGACCATAGCATATTCTGGGATGAAATATTTTATCCCTTTTCTTCCTTTTAGCACAGCATTCTGAAATTTTTTGGTCATTGCAATGATCTTGATCGGGAGATGAGAAAATGCTTGAAGAAGGAGGTAAGAAAAGTGTTAAAGGATGGGAATCATTCAACAATAGAACAGAACATTTTAGAACAGTATGATATATTACTGCTTTTATTAACCCCCCCCCCCCAATTTTAGTATAACAGAATAAAATAGATTTTATATGTATGTCTATAATCTAGGGGAGAAATGAAAGCTTCTTCGGGGACAATTTTAGAATACTGCTGTTGTTTGGCATTCATATACATGAAACAACTTCCTTTTTATAATCCTTGTAATTCCTCTGGATGAATTTTAAAGTTTGGGAAATTGACTTTGTATGCTATATGATTGTCTAACCACTATGCTATATACCTGAAACTAATAAGAAATATTGAATATAAACTGTAATTGAAAAAAAATAGATGCAATGGTAAAAGAAGATTCTCTTCATTGGAATTTGATCTATAATTGTCTTTGTTTAATTTTTTAAAAGTTTAGGAAATTGATTCTCTTTCAAACAAAAAAGACTTGTCAGTCAGTTATTGGCTACAGGTAACTAAAACTCTCTGGACCTCAGTGTCCTTATATAACACCTCTCTGCCACCCGCTTGTAGCTCACTGCCCCACCCTCCTGCTGATCCATGATCCGATTGTTACGTAATGGCCATTTGCCTATTACATCTTTATTATAAAGGATGGTGAAGCTGGACTTAGGCTCTTAACAGCTTTCAAATTTTGAATTTCTTTATAATTACAGACAGTCCTCTGGTTACATTGGACTTGACGTACATCTTTTCATGGTTACGTCACCATCTCCCATTTATTTATAAAAAAAAAGTTTCATCATTCCGACGTATGTACATATGCGCTTTTTGTTCTTTTATTATTTATTTACCACAAGTAAAGGTCGGGAATTATTTTTCTTTTAAATTTTTTTTACTGTTTCACTTCATTACTGCTGTGTATGTGCTCTATATGAGTGACGTAGGTGCTTATGTAGGTGGGTTCCAACTTAACAGCGAAAATCCCATTACGTTGTGCTGTAGGAATGGATCTCCGACCTAACCCGAGGACCTACCGTATGGTATATATAAACCACAGGGATCTAGTTTGACTTATTTGGAAAGACTAATTTCCTGAACCCAATTTTAGGCTAAGACTTGAACTTGGGCACATAGTTAAAATACCTAATTCATTGTATTTTTACAGGTACTGCTAACCAAGCAAAGTGCATTTTAAATCTTTGAAAAGAAATTTAATGTTATTTCTGTTTTGTACATCAGATATTTTATGTCTAGAACCTTTAAAAACCTATAACTACTAATAATTTGCCTTCCAGTTTTCTGTATCTTTGAACTTCTCCCCCATTAGCCTTATATTGAAAGATATCCTATGTAATAAAAGGCTAATATGCAAATTGTCCCCTCGGGAGTTTGCTTGCTCTGACGTGCACTGACCACCAGGGGGCAGCATGGAACGAAGGAAGGCCCCGGCCAGCAGCCGGGGGAAGGAAGGCCCTAGCTGGCAGCCAGCAGCCGGGGGAAGGAAAGCCCTGGCCAGCAGCAGAAAGGCCAATTGGCCCTGATTACTAGCCAGGCCTAGGGACCCTACCTGTGCACAAATTTCGTGCACTGGGCCTCTAGTTATCCTATATAATAAAAGACTAATCTGCAAAGTGACTGAATGGCAGAACGACCCGTCACTATAACGTGCACTGACCACCAGGGGACAGACACTCAACACAGGAGCTACCCCCTGGTGGTCAGTGCACTCCCACAGGGGAGTGCCGCTCAGCCAGAAGCTGGCTTCATGGCTGCCAAGCACAGTGGCAGTGGGGGCCCCTCTCCCACCTCCGCTGCAGGCAGGTGGTAAGGAGAGAAGGGCTCCTGGCCTGCAAGAGGGCACAGGCCGGGATGAGGGATCCCCTCCCCCCTCCCCCCGTGCACGAATCTCATGCACCGGGCCTCTAGTATGTGAATAAAGTCCTGTTGCTATTATAGTTTTTTTCTTGACTGTTGGAAGCAAAATTTCATCTGTCACATTGAGCGGTCCCCCCAGGCCTCAGAGTTAGTGGCATCTCTGAGGCTGTGGAGGTGTGCAGAGCAGCCAGCTGCGTTCCTCTTGGTTCTTCCTTTCCTCTTGGTTCCTACACATATTGTTGAATTGGTCTTCCATTCTTTTCTTTTCTTTTTTTTAAATATATTTTATTGATTTTTTACAGCGAGGAAGGGAGAGATATAGAGAGTTAGAAACATCGATGATGAGAGAAACATCGATCAGCTGCCTCCTGCACATCTGTGCCTGCAACCCAGGTACATGCCCTTGACCGGAATCGAACCTGGGACCCTTCAGTCCGCAGGCCAATGCTCTATCCACTGAGCCAAACCGGTTTTGGCGATAATTTTCTTTGTGAACAAACATGTACATAGAAAGTGTTTTAAACTGATTTTTGTAAAGAGTTTTTCTTTATATGCAAAGGCTCATTTAGATGGAAACTAAACTTAGGGCTCTGGTCCTTTTTTAATAAGATTATGGGAAAACTAGAGGCCCGGTGCATGAAATTCATGTGGGGGGGGGCGGGGAATCCCCTCAGCCCAGCCTGCACCCTCTCCAATCTCGGACTCTTTGGGGGATGTCCGACTGCTGATTTAGGCCCGATCCCCAGGATCGGGCCTAAATTGGCTGTGTTTCCCGTTCCCTCAGCAACTGGAAACCTTTTGGGGTTCAAATGCCCCCTCCCGGCCTGGTTGCCCACACAGCCTGCTGTCCAGTAATTTGGTCATCCCTCACTAACCCCCCCGCTGGCCTGGTTGCCCCATGCAGCCTGCTGTTCGGTCATTTGGTTGTCCCTCACTAACCCCCCTGCCAGCCTGGCCGTATGCAGCCATCTTGTGAGGGTGTAATGGTCAATTTGCATACCACCTCTTTATTATATAGGATAAAGCCCACACTATTGTATTTGGTATAGCTGTTTATTTCTCACATGCTTTCAGTTGTGTAGAATAACTTTTTTCCTACATTTATATTTTTATCTCCTTATAGATCAACGATTTTGCCATTGGTGATTAGATCATCTGAAATTTTCTTCTGAGGTAGTCCTAAACTGTTGGGGACTATTTGGTAGAGTGTTGTAGTATCTACAGTATAGATACTCTTGTCTAAGTTTGTTTTCATATAAATTTCAAATTTTCTCCTTGATTTTTTTTAAACTCCTCTGTGTGGTTTTTATGTTGCTTTATTACTTGATTTATAGACATTTTTCTTTCCTTTCATCCTTCAATCCTCTGAACCCATGCTCATTTGTTTTCTCTCTGCTTTTAATGCTTTCTAGTTTACCATTTATTGCTTCTAGTGCTCTCTTCCTATTTCCTTGATGTGTCATTTGAGTACTTCATTCCTTGAAGCTTTTAACTAGAAAAAGGATCCACCCAGTTTTGTTGAGCCTCTCTTTGCTGTTGTGTGTTGCTTTTGTTCATTTATTGAAATAATCACTAATTTTATTTCTGTAGCATCCTCTTACTTGTGTTTTGTTTGGTTTTTGGTTAATTGACCTTCCATTCTATCTGTGTTATTCAGTAGAGTTTTGTGAATAACATTATATTTATCCTTTTCTCTCTTCTTTTATTCAGGGACTATTTTGACTCCCTTTGGAAATAATCTTAACATGTATTTTAATATAGACTATATTTTAATTTGCTCTATGCTTATTTTATTGGTTCGCTACAAAGTATTATCTTCAGAACTCTTACTCTTAAGACCCTCCTCCCAGCCTAATTGCTGGAGGCAACATGTGATTAAAAATATCAAGCATTTTTCTCAGAGCATATATCTATCCATGTTCTGGATGCTTTTTCCCCCCTAATTTTTTTTTTTATATATCTCTATATATTTTTTGTGACCTCCTGGTTCATAGGTCGACACCCAGCCACTGAGCCACGCCAGCCAGGACCCTTAAATTTTTTAAAGCAATAAAATACATTTTTCCCTTAACAATCTTAAGAGGAAATTTAATGTATGACAGGTAAAAGGAATGCTTTTTGTTAAAGGGACCTGGTGCTTCATCTATAATTTGAAGATGCCCTTTGATGGGGAAGAAAAAAAAGTTTGAAAACTATCATTCCAGGACATACGTTAGAACCCTTCAATCAAAACTTTAGACTTAGAAAAACTTCTTAAAGATTATCTAACCCAACTCCTTATGGTTGAGGTTACTGGAACAGAAGATAAAGTAACTCAACATCAGGAATCGCCACACTCGGAGTCAGGGGAGGGGATCCAGTCAAGTCCTTGGTTAACTCTATCACTAATCTTTTGTTTCTGTGACCTCTTTCCATATCTCTGTCTCCTAAAAGATTTTGATGTCCAACAGTTCACATATACTCAGTTTTCCCCTTTCTGCTAGGTATTCTTCATTTGCCTTTAAACTATGTCTATATTAGTATATATATTATAAGCCTCTACATATGTACTTATAAGAGCACTTAAAATCAAGTTTCTCTGCTTTAAATAAATGCTTTTTAAAGTGCCACGCTCTGTATTTCCTGTTATTTATAACCTACTAGCCAGATCAGAATACTAGGTTGAAAACATTTAAGGTTAAAACTGCATTTAGAGCCACCTGATTACAGAAACATAGAATTTGGGGAGAATTTAATTCAATGGCTTATCATGTTGAAAAAATCCTGGGAAGTTCAGCTGACTATAAGTTTCTATATGAATCAATAGGATAATATAGTTGCTAAGAACCAGTTACTCTTTAAAAAAAAAGAAAAAGATATATTTTGTTTATTGATTTCAGAGAGGAAGGGAAAAGGAAAGAGAGATAGAAACATCAATGATGAGAGAGAATCATTGATCAGCTGCCTCCTGCCCACTCCCCACTGGGGATTAAGCCCACAACCTGACCGGGATTTGAACTGTGACTTCCTGGTTCGTAGGTTGACGCTCAGCCACTGAGCCATGCCAGCCGGGTGAGTCAGTTACTCTTGATAATATTTATAGAAATGTAATGTGTCCAGGTCATAAGAACTAGTAGGCCCATTGTACTCCACATCTGTCAGACTACTTCTAGAGCACTGTATTTAATTCTGGGTGTAGTATTTTTTTAAGGAGTATTGATATTAAAGTACTTCATAAAGGTGCTTTATAGAGAAGATACTAGAAGTCAGAAGCCATGTTCTGTGAACAGTTGTAGCAGTGACATTCAGCCTGCGAAAGAGATTGTGAATGGGTTATCTGTAATCAGATATTTGAAAGACTATAACAGGCGAGAAGAAGTAGAGGACAGTGGGATAATTTACTGGGAAACACTTACTGGTTCAACATAAAAATCTTTGAAACAGTTATTCGAACAATAATTAAGTAGATAGTGAGTTCTCCTTATAACTAGAAGTGTTCGATCAGGTTGGATAATTAGATTGTGAGCTCCTGGAGAACAGGGACAAAACTCATTCATCTTAAATATTTACTGAATTCATATTTTGGGAGGAAATTAATTCAGTAAAGACTTAAACATCTGTAAGAATGTGGATACTGTATTATATTAAATGAACTTATACTAGATAGTCTCTAAGTTCTCTGTTTTCAATCTCAGATTCAGGAAAATGAAGAGTTTTGTCTGCAAAAACATTATTTTTATTCTGCAAGTATTTTATTTAATATAATGGTAATATAATCTACTCTTTTCTCCCCCTTCCTTTTATTTTCCAGTACATGGAAAAGAGGACCAAGAGCAGGGAGCTTGGCAATGCGATGCGAAAGAGACTTTCAAATCCTCCAGAGGAATCTGAAACATAAATTATATTATCACTGGATGCCTTGGCTGAGAGAAGATGTGAAGACTTGGTTGATAAAACCAAAAGAATTCTATCTCATTTGGTCTCCAGAATCTTTTGAATAGCAAGTGACCCATGAGAAATCGAGGCATGGAGAAATACAGAAACCCTGGATTCAGAATATTTTTTGGGCAGAGCCTTTAGTACTCTGATTCCTTTACCAACACACCTGACTTTTAATATGTTTCTTTCCTTTGCCTGCAGCCATTTAACATTTGAGTAATTTATCACCCTCAATAAAATAATTGATTTTTAGCATATTTTCTCTGTTCTCTTAGACTCTTCTGGAATTAGGGAGAAATGGTTCCATTAGACTTTCCCTTTTGACAAGACGGCAGTTCTAGAGCTTAAACATTGAAGATACAAGCTATGGGTCAGTGGTTAAGCGTCGACCTATGTATCAGGTGTCACGGTTTGATTCCAGGTCAGGGCATATACCTGGGTTGCGGGCTCCATCCCCAGTAGGGGGCATGCAAGAGGCAGATAATGGATGTTTCCCTCTCATTAATGTTTCTATTTCTCCCTCTTCCTTCCTTTTTCTGAAATAAATAAAAACATCAAATCAAAAAGATACAAGCTAAGGCAAAAAGATTTTGAGGAAATTCCCAGCTGTGTTAACTATATGAAAATGTTGCGACTTTCTTGTTCTTAAATTGTCAACAGACTGAACTGTGAGCTCCTTCTATTGGAATCTTTGTGTTCAGCATGAGGCCTTGTTGGTGTCAGTGTTTAATAAGTGATTTCTGTATCATAAGAGTTGTTCAAGAGGCTGGACATTCAGTTAGTGAGGTGGTTATGTGGTAGGCAGTTAGACATGAGCAGAGCAAGGACGATGGGCCAGGTCCAGAAGATCACCAGGATGGAAAGCCCCAAGTGCCTAGCAACAAACAACTGTAGGGGGGACTTCACCCCCCAGGGGGACTTTTCTTCCCCTAGCATATCTCTTATCATGAGGTTTGGACCCCCTGACCTTTCCTCCATAGAGATAATATCTAGGCATCAGCAATATTCCAGGTCCTGAAAAGCAGCAAAATCAGACCCCTAACCCCAGGGCTGACCTCAGGACTGCTGCATTGAATAATGACCCCCTGCCCTGGTGCCAGCCATTCAAGCAATGGAGACAACAACTCTGAAAGGACACACCTGGAAAACTGCTGACTATTCTATTGAGATCTTCCCTGGAACCTCCCTTAAAATTTCCACCCTTAAAACCCTTAGGATGTAGGACCCAGTTCGCTTAAGCCTTCCTGCCTTCCTTCCCAGGGCGTGCTCCCAAGCGCCAAGGACCCTTCCTTTACCTCTATAATTTGTTTCCTAAGTTCATTTCTTTTAGGAATTGCTGCTTCTACCTCTGATTTATCAAATAAATGTTCTTTTACTGTTTGGGTCTTGGCTCTGAATTCTTTCCTAGCCAGAACCCAAGTACCGAGGTTGCTGAACCCAGGATAGGTCTGACCCCTCTGGTCAGACACCTGGTGCTGTTCTGCCGCCTACAACAGTTACACAGGATAACAGATATTTGATGAAGGGTTGGAGGAAGAAGCAGAATTAACTCTGAGGTCGCTTTCAAGACTGAGGTTTACAAATATTCAGTCATGTTTCCCCTTCTCCCTCCCTCCATGTCAGGCAGTACAGATACAGAAATGAAACATTTTGTCCTTAGAAGCTCGTAGTACTGACAAGTTGACTATTACAGTAGTGTAGTAAGTGACATGATTAGGTAGGTGTCATAGAAAACAGGGCATCCATGCCCAGCCTTCAGGACGAAGGAGCCAAGCCAAGAAAGCTACTTAGCACAGGTGACCTTTGACAAATGAAGTGAAAATGGAATACATTCTAGGGAACATCAAGTCATTAGGCATGACTGGAATATGAGAACTGTTAGTGGAGGAAGATCAGAAATGGCATTTAATTTTGGAATTTTTTCTTCATTGCTGTGGTGACCAGTTGCAGATTTTACTATGGTGATTTGGATTTGTAGAGGGGGCTTAGGAAAGGGATATGTTTGAATTTGTATTTTTAGTAAGATTTTCTGGTTGTAGTTTTGTAACTGGACAATCAATGGGTCCATGCTACCTGTCACTACTTGAGCCAATTCAGCAGAAACAAGGTTGAATCATATATGAGCATTTATTCCAATAATGTCAGCAGTATGGGAGAGCAGCAGGTCATGCACAAAAATCTGCTCTGTAGCCCCCCATAAGCCAGCTGCTTTTATAGGGTAGGACAAAGATTACATGGGGAATAGGCAATGCAGGCTGTGATGGGATTCCATTGTTTGGGCTGAGCAACAAGGTTGTTAATCTTTCCATGATAATAGGCAGTTCTTGTATGAGAATGGACCACATTCCAAGATTGACCCCCAGGGCTCTGGGGGCATACAACTCCCAATGAGGTTAGAATGTCCTGTCTTAAACCAATACAAGGCAATCATGATTAATAGAGCATGATTAATATTTCCCATAACCATAGCTAGTCCCCAATATTCTATTTGCCCCTAACAGATTGGAGAACACACCCAGGGAGACCAATTAGATTTTGCCCTAATTTAGGTGAAAAATGAGGGCCTGGATTAAAAGAAGTGTCTTGGGGATCAAGAGCAGTGACTAGTTGAGGGGAATCTCTCTCTCTCTCTCTTTCTCTCTCTTTCTCTCTCTCTCTCTCTCTCTCTCTATATATATATATATAGATATAGTGGG